AACGGAAACAACAGTGCAAAATTTACTTGACCCGAAAGGGCGAAAGTATTTCATCTAGTTGCATGTATATATTGTATAACGACGCGAAACAAAATTCTAATTTTTCCTTTAGATGTCAGTTTCAGATCTATTTGAACGAGATAATCTTGGAAACGGAAAGGAAATGCAGAATATATCTTTAAACAATTAAATGAAATATTTTGCCTTCCGGGTAAATTTGCACTATTCGAAAACGAAGAGGTTTTCGCGCAAAATAGGCGAACGTCGCGGTATCTTCGTTATAAATAACGCGGGCATAATACTCGAACTTCCCAGTTAATTAAGCGCTCCATTAATATGATATTACGCTGTAAACAAAGGCAATTTCCGCGGAATCTGCGCGAAATGGTTCAAAATTTTACTGTGCTCCTCGTTCTCCGTAATCGCTTATAATCCGCAGGTATTTCTAACTATCGTTCGATGCGAACTTGTTAAGTTGTTAATTTGATGCATCGTCGTCGTCGGTAGCGAGCATTTTTCACGGTGGTTTTATCGCGTATATTAAGCGCTTGTTACGAAACTTTTCTGGACGAATAATATCTGTAATAGTAGAGATACGAGATGTAAAGAGATAGAAATAGAGATGGATAGAGAGAGAGAGAGAGAGAGAGAGAGAGAGAGAGAGGGGACGCAATAACAATAGAAATCATCATCTATTCACGTCAATTTCGATGAATTGGATTAATACCCCGTTTGATTGACGGCTTCATTATCTTCTGCGGTAATTGCTGCTATACAGATCGTCTTCAGTAAACTACGTTTACTTTTAACGAGTAAGATGACGCGTTTTGAACATCGTGAACGAAAAGAGGGAAAGGGAGAGTTCGCTTTCCATTTAATGTGTCTGCTGTCAAATTTTGCCGAAAATTGAAGTTTTCGGGACGGGCTTTCCACGTTTAAGTGCTAATTAGAGTGTTTTGCCATATAATGTGTCATGTACATATATTATATTGTCCATGAAACTATTAATACTTTGTCGCAATTACTGTAATTGTCTTATACCGAAATGCTGCATGGTGGATCGATCGAGTCGACAAGCATTCCAATTAAGCATTCCGATCGGTTGACGACGACTGCACATCCCAAATCTCTATCCCTGTATTCTTGTTCGGAATGCAGTTTATTACTTCCAATAAAGCATAAAAAGAATCGCTAACTTGATACCCGATTGTAAACTTAATTAACCGGCACAGATTGCTGAGTGTTGGTCGTGAAACTAATATCGAGCAGCGCTTGAGAAAAGCGAAATAAAAAAAAAATAAAATTTGTGCACGCCAGAAAATCGATTTCAACCGCGGTAATAAAGAGTTTAGTATGTGCATTTGTACTTTTAATTTTTGCCGTATTTCTTCTCGTATTTTTGCCATATTTCTTCTATGAGAATTCATAGTCACGCGAATTGCAAACTATATCCTGATATTCACACGTAAATCCAATTCGCAATTCGAATTCAAATGCACGATAATTCGAGGAGAATGCTCGGAATATCTGACGATTATGTATATATATATATATATATATAACTCGTCACTCTTTTCGCCGCCGGAGGATATCTGTTTTTGACAGCTACACGGTGGTGGTCCACCCATAAGAAGTGGAATTTTGCCAGCCAATTCCAAGGACGCTGCGGAAATGCCGAATTTCAGGGGCGAATCTATTTGAAAGAGGATTTTAAAAAAAATAATTTTAACACTAAAATAGGCTTCTTTTTATAAGAAAAAAATAATTTATGCGAAGTCCAAAATATATTTGTTGATAAAAATGGGTACTATGGTTTTTTTTAAACAGCTTCTGTATATGTCCTAAAGATTTCCCGGAAATTTGGTTCTCAAAACGAGTTTACTATCCGTTCCTGGCAAAACTTCTATTTCATTCTGCAGTCAATGGCAGTTGCGCCGCGACGCTGCGTCGTGCTCACGTACCCCTGCATCCGCGGTTCCCTTTTTACCGCGGCACCGCATTAAGCCCGCCTAATGTCACTCGAAGAAGCGACGGGGGCGGAGGGCACGGAGAAAAGTGGAAAGTATAAAAAACGAGCGGACCCGATAGATCGATCCGGCAGAAATTTCTCAGGGGAACAACGCCCGTAAGCGCGGTGCCGCAGGCCGTTCAAGCGCTATCCTACATCCATCACGTAGAATTTGCACATTGGTGCTGGACAACTAGATTTACTGGCAAAATACCCACCGGCGGAGAGGGCGGGTCGTAATCACGGAAGGAATCCACGCAATTTATAAGGCGTATATAAATTGAAAATTATTTACAGAAAGAATTAATTTTGTTATAGCGATATATATTTATATGAATATATTTATATTACCTTTTTTTGCCATACTATAATGTAACTCCTTAACGCACGCACTGTAAAAACCCGAATTGTTATAACCAACCTAGCAAAAAATCGTCACAGATTAAATTTCTGAGGTAAAAGCGTACTTCCGTTCTCTCAATTAAAAACGCAAAAAGTACCGCATCACAATAATCAACAATATCGGTGAAGTATTAAAGCACAACGGACCCGATAGATGTTCATATATTTCGCACGTGAATTGCAATGTAAATAATTAATCGTTACTATTTATCAACACGATAATGCATAGTGAACGCATAAATTCGTAACGTATTATTAATCTCTTACGCGATGAAAATTTGTGCTTTTACGAACGATCGATGCGAGCGGCGTGTGTTTTATCAATCCCGCGAAATTAACAATTTAATTTGTGACACGTAACTGTTTTCTCTCAAAATTAATATCACGCCCGAAGATCGATTTTTCCGCGAATGCGGGTACGATAAGATCGGCCCTTTTCTCGATTTCCGTTAAGGCGTTTCGGCCATCCTATCAATCTCCGTCGCCGTTTTTCAGTTGTGAGCTCACGTTCGCGGATTTTCTCGGGTCCGCGTTACTGCATTTCTTGCATGCAGAAGGGGAATAGATTGACTGAAATTGACACCTACACTCCCGCCCGTCAATGCGAATTGACGACGACCGAATTGGATAATCGGTGGAAATGCCACGATCTCACCGGTCGCGGTGATGCGAACAATCGTTGGCACAACCTTATCTTTATCCTCACATTATTGTCACGTCCTCGTTTCTCCTAATTTCTCAAAATATTATATCTTTCATAAAAACTTTTATCCGAACGCGTGTTAAATTTATAATGTCAAATATACATATATCCAATATGAATTTTTTTTTATTTTTACAGGTCGTCACTGCTCCTTCTTAATATGTTATTAATAACACACTGGAGGTAGCTAATTTAAAAAATGTGAAACCTAAATTTGACTCAGTTTGTTATTTAGTATTTACTAAGTGTACACAGAAATATGGACGTTGTTTACGTTGAAACTAATCACAGAAATAGATTGATTTACATTTTGACACACATGAATGTTAAAAATAACAAAATGTTATTTTTAGCTCGAGAGATTGAATTAGTGTTGCTCTTTTGATATCTAACGGTGTATGTTATTCAATATCAACGCGACGAGCTTTTTATTTCTTCGACAATGCCCAGAATTAATTTTTTTTTCATCAAAGTTTATATTTTTTTACGGAAAACTTTTTTTCCATCACGAGTGCAGCAACGTAAAAATTTACAAAAATTCGTGAGATTATTTATAAAATGTTTTATTTGTTAGAGGTTAAATATTACATCGGACGATTTTGCAAAAAAATTCATGTAGATTTGAGGTGTCGCAGCCACACCGGTCGGTAATATTCGTTAGAAAATCCTTCACGACCACACCACTATCTGGATTGGATGATGTATGATGTAATTAATGGTTATTTCGCGGCTAATTGCCCGGGCGATTATGACTTTTCCGCATGTATGTCGTCGCAGCGCTGCACTGCCACGGTGAACATGAGAAGATAGTTTTAAATAACATATCCCCTCCCCTAAATAAATTGCAGAATGAGTTTGCTCATTGATGACATATTTTTATTTTTAAATGCATTGAAGTAGATGTGTGAAATAAAAAATAAAATAGATTGAATTCAATTGAATAAACTAAATTTATCAATAATTACGTAGATATTAATAACGTAATAGTTCATGACGTCGCGAGAACCTTGATCGATCGAATAGAAAATCCTAGCGACAATGTAATTATAACACGTCTAAGAAAAAACAATTTGATTTGTCATTGATAAATAGAAAATATTATAACGTAATTTATTTATATATATATATATATATATATATATATATATATGAATACATATGTGTGTGTGTATACAGCGATATTTAAAAGGATCGAAAATTTCAAGATTTAAAACATATTGCTTTAAATAAAGTTAAAAGAAAAAAGGACTCTTTTTTTATACAAAAAATAATAAACATTGAAATGGTCATTCAAACATTGTAAGAATCAATAAATAAATTAAATGATAATTATAAGTAACAATTTCAAACTATATTTAATTATAACTATTTGACATAAAACTTAAAATTACGTATAATCTAACATTAAACGATAAAAAGATATTACGTAATTACTAGTTTCGACTACAATATAGAATCCTCTTCAGATTTGGCATTGACATTGATGTTGAAAAATACAGATAATCGTATTTTATAGGATTAGTAGAAAAATTATAAAATTTATATAAATCGATAGATTTATATCACATTTGGAAATATTAGTCGATCTGCTTATCAATACATGTACAATAATAAAAATCAAACTACCAAGATATGTCAAAGAACAAATAATAGTCAATAAAAAATAAATTATAGTTAATATGTTAAAAATGTAAAAAATGTAAAAAGCTGTATCACAATACATCTTGCAATCAATTATACAATGATATGTCAAACCTATTGCTTTAAGAAAAATTTAATAGGATGTAACAAATTTGTCTAGACTTAACATATTTCAAGATTTTGCAATTACGTTGATTTTCACCGTAAAAATGTAGTTCATACTAATGATGATTTTTTTAATTACAGGTAGATTAGGATACGATTCGTCTGATGAGGATGATTTAGACTCTATGGGCTTCGACATTGCTATGCCTAATTTCTTTTCTGGTACGTAATATTTACAGTATTTATGTCGAGATGGTGTGTGCGTATGTGTGTATAATATAGCTTTGATTTTTCTTCAATATGTGTTTGTTCTTTTTAATTGCATTACATATTCTTTGTTCTCTCTGTAATTAGAAACAAAAATATACATATATATGTTTGAAACACAGAAGAAAAAAGAGAAATAATTTGTAATTAACTTAAAAAGAGTACCATATTAATCGAAAAAAAAAATAGAAAGGAAATTTCATGTCATCCAAAATTGTTTCAATATCATATTAACTAATTCTTATCAATGCGCAATCATCCGTTCGCATTTTCATCACACGTTTTACGCTTATAGATACAGCCGCGATAAAATATCGATTTTATTCATCCGATGTGAATACTGTATTTAATGGAAACGAGTGTATGGTATTTTTGACGTTGAATACACGCTGAAGATACGAACTTAATGGCTGGCTGTGTCAAATCAAACGTTAAATACAGGCGCAAACGCAACTCGTTATTTTCATTAACGCCTCCGCACTTCTGCGCTTTAGCACACATGCGGAGATTCGCAAACGCGATACACACGAGAGTGCGAATTTGTGTGCCTCTGACAGGTAGATCATAGAGACGTGCGCAAATATCGCGCACGCATCGTCCGGACGACCGGAAATGCAACGGCAGCCACGATTGCATCGCGGGGATCGCGGGCGTCAGCTTCACATCCCGCTTACATGCGGTTTGTCTGAGTGTAACTTCCGTCAGCCTGCGCCTACAGGGACATTTGGCATTGTTTATGGTATACCAATTACCGCGTACCGTCGTTCACTTCAAACGAATCTTGCTTACAATTAGTATACACAATCGACTAATCAATGGCCTCTGTGTCATCATTAAAAAATTAATTATATTAACGCAACCTTTTATTATTTTTTACATCGTACACACGAATACCTTTCACAATAGTATTGCAGTTTATTGCATTGATTGAAAGTAGATTCTGCAACATTTAATTAATTAACGTAAAAATAAACGTATTGAGGTTACGAACGAAGATATTTAAACTACAAAATTAGCTTGCAAATGAAAATTTGGTCTTTATAAAATTTTATTTAAATGTATCAAATTTATATAAAGCTATTAAAAGAAAAATATTACTGTTTTTATAAGAAAAGAATGAGCTTGAATATTTAGTTCGGAAAGCAGGTCGTTCAAATGAAAATCTAAAAAGGAAAGAATAACCCTTTTCTAGGAGCACAATACCTTATCTATATCAAGTATGTGTATCTCCTTTTTTTCTCAAATAGATAATAATTGAATTTCGCGTTGTCTGTGCATTGAAGTCAGTAGCGTCGCCCATGCGTGTATTCTGCAGATTATCACGCGGCTTTACGGAAGGCAACTTCCGTTCTTCCACGTTCTAGGATGATCAACAATCTCTCGTAAACCGGTTCGACTACGAGATACGTGTATGTGTGCGCGACCGCGGTAATAACGTCTCGCGAGTAATGAGTCGCTTACTCACGTGTGTGGGTTCATACATGCCGTCCGTCACTCACGTTGCGCAACAATTCGTGCTCTGGATCTATCGCAAAACGATACCGCACCCGTAGGTCATGCCTTCACTCTAACAATGCATCGCCATTTGACCATCATCGATGATCGCATTTAAGGGAATCCTCATGTGAAACTAGACCCGCATTAATGTAATTTGCGCGACGTATATGCGAACGAGAATTTCGTCGAAAATTTACACCGCACGATAACCAACGCTATCAAAATCTCACAAAGAACCCTGCTCACTAATTCTATGAAAAATTGGGTCCCGGTGAAATGAGTTATTTTTCATATGTATGTAGCTTACAATGTGATGAAAAAAAATGTCATACAGATACAAGGTTGAATAATGGATAGTTTTTCAACTATGCGATGTATCAAATGTGTAAAACGCGTGCTCACAGAGCACCTTTGTTACACGATCAAAAACTGTCCATTATTGAGTCTTGTGTCTATGACATCTTTTGTTCACAACGTTATAGGCAATATTATGTATGAAAATTAATTCAGTTCACCAGGATCTAATTGTCAATATAATTATTGCAAGGTCCTTTAAATAGACACTTTGAAAGGCGACATAATATTGTTAGGAATAAAAGTATCTCTGCTGGAATATTTAACAAGAGAGATGTAAATATATTCTTGTATGAATATGTGGCTTGTCGAAATCAGAAAAAATGAATCTTTCTGAAATCTCTATTAGGAAGGAAAACTAACGGTAAGATTTCGCTTTACTTCCTGTTCCTCTTCCAGAAGAGTAAACGCAGAATAAACGAATACAAACCGATGTTTATACGTAATAACGTCTTCCGTATTCTTGCGGTTATGCACCGAAGAAATTTACAGAAGATGAACACACACGCTACAGATCGCAATCGAATGCATCTAGAAACTTGTTTATCTTTGAAAGTTTTTTTTTTCCGATCGAGCTTGAAAAATGCTTGGTGTGTGTGCAAACAAAGTTAAACAAAACGACAGCGGAAAAGCCGTTCGCGTGGTATGTATGTTTTCATGCCTTTTTACTAACTAATATTTAACAAAATTCTCGTTAAATATTTTTATGCGTTTCGCGCATGCGACGCGCATTTTATAAATATTTATAGAGCCCAAACAATATGCATCAAACGTCGAATATGCATTTGAATAAGCAAAAATTTTACATGGGGTACGGCCTGAAAAATTTGCACGATTTCCCGAAATAGAGGCGACTTTGCAATTTCCTTAATACACGTAAAGCGCTATCGCTGCTCTTATCGCGAGATATATAGCTGTGAAATAGCTGTACAGTGTTACGTCCATCGCACCGTTAATCGATATACCTAGCTGTAGCATTACATGCCGGCGAGAGAAAGAATAACAAGTAGCCGTGGTATTCTAATGAAAGCAATTACCAGAAAATATTGTTCTAATTAACCAAGTTGCAATTACTAACGCGCTACAAAAAGTTAGAGATTTCCTCACGGCGAGAGAAAGAAAGAAAGTCGATCGATATAAAACTCCGTAAATTCAGATTGTGCAGAACGTAATGCAATATTAAACATCGTTTTTTTTTTTAAATTCAACAGTTAATATTGACGGTATTAATTTATCTATAAAAAGATATATGAGTAAAGAATGCATAAAAATGAAGAGATGACTTTTTAATAAAATAATAGTAATAATCTTATTATCAGATTTTTTCAAGTTATCCCGAGATCTCTCTCTCTCTCTCTATAGAGAGAAAAAATATATATATATTCTATATCATATTTTAAAGTTAAATGTGAAATTTGCCTTCGATTACACTAGAATTATATCAAGGTTTTACGCAAAAGCATATGAAGACTGTTTTTAAAATCATTTTTACTAAATCTGAATTTGCCATCGAAATATTTCAATCAGATCCGATTTTTAAAGTATAGGAAAAAAACATTTGTTCCAATTGTACAGTGGAGTTTCATAGAAATATTTTAAAATTTCATTTGAAATTAAAAAAATTTAGATATTTGAGTGTTTTATTTTTTTTGCATGCTTTCGTCCCAATATCTCTAGTAATGTTTCTCAATTATCAAATCCTGAAGGAAACGTTTATTTTGCTGATGACTCGTTGCATCTTAATTATTCGAAAAAAAATTTCAAAAATTTAACCTGATGGAACTTTTCTGAGATTTGAACTCAACGGCCCAAAATAGGTTTAAAAACTTGTTTCCTTTTCTTGAATTAAAAATTAATCAAAATTTGTAAATTAGTGTTATTACGGATTATACGCGGCATCACAAATTCGTATAACATATTTTATCCGAGAAAGGCAAGACTCCGGAGATTATTCCTTTATCTATATCCTATTATATGTATTGGGATTTCCGCGTGTATTATCAGCCGGTGGAATTTGACGCACGCGTCGCTAGTGACAAAAATTCCGTGCATGCATATTTTTGTGCGCCCGTAAAAACATTCGACGAAGAAAGGTGGCCGATCGATGGACGTGATTAACGGTGTTATCGCGTGGAATTCGTAACAAGGTGATCCCGAGATCCGGCATGCGCGTAGGTGGGCAAGACGGCACGTGTAACACACACAACAAAATAAAATCTATTGTGCCGATGAACATCGTCTTTTTTATAGCCTTTCGAAGTAGTGCAGCGGGTAAAGGTCGCAACGTTAAATGTTAAGCTCGTAACGATATGAAATATAATGCATGGATGTGAGAAATAACGCTGCACGCTACAATAAATAATGTATAATGTCCCTCGGCAATATTCACGCAAAAACTGACATTATTTTGAGAATAAATTTATTTAAAAATTTTATTAAATATGGATACATTATAATAGATTAAGCACGTGTCTGATATTAAACGCAACTACGTTAAATTAAAAATACCTGTGTTTTATTAAATAAATTATAAATGCTAAAGATAAAAGAGAGGAGAGTGCGAACTGGAAAATATATTTTTAGATATGCAATTATTCATATGAAAATTTGTATGAAAATTAAATAAATCGCTGAATTCTTTTAACAGATTGTTTAAATATGTGTGTAGTATAAATATATGTGTACAAGCTGCAAGTATAAAACGCTTGTCTATATGTGTGAAGTATTGATAGTCCCATACTTTAATGTCATTACGCATTTTTCTGAGCGGTGATCCCTTTTACAGATCGTGCATCCTTTCAGGAAAGAAAGCTCTTTTCTATCCTGAAATTTCGCTTGATATCGTACGCGGCGTGATTAAAGCGCGACCGAAAATTAAATTTTTCAGAGAAAATTAACAAGTCGCGCAAGAGAATTAATTGGCGTGACTACTCGCGACCTCTGCTATTTTCAAAGAGTCGCTCTCTCATGCGGCATATTTTGCGAGGTAGCAGGATGGACACGCGTTAACCGTATACCGCCGCAACTGTGCGTATACGGCAAATTAATAAATTAATGAATTGATAAATTGATAGATAAATTCGGCGATAATTCCGCACAGAGCA